TATCTGCACGGTTCTCCTATGACATTTTACACATTTAACTCCACTTAAGTGCTGCTGCACATTTCAACTCTGCTTACACTTAAAAGCTCCCATAAGAAGCATTTTTTTTCCCCACATAGCAGAGCAGCCTCCACTGTTGACAGAAATTCTCAACAGAAACCAAATAATTTCAGGATTGTACCAGAATAAAAAAAGCCAAACTGCTTAGAATTATTCAAGTACAAAAATTACATTTACGCCAAGGCTCAAAGTATAATCTCCCTGAGGCAAAGACCTTAACTTCATATTCACCTGCAAACCACTTAATAGACTGTCAGCACTACACAAATAATAACCTAAAGAAGGTATTAGAGTGGACCAGCATGCTAAGTATGGTCTCTTCAATGGGCCTCACCCGACTACGCAGGGCATTCTGAAACTAATGTCTTCTAAACTACAATAGACACAAAAAGCATAGTAACACTACTTGATAGAACAAGTTCTTTACCACAAAACAGTCACCACCATTAGCTATGCCTTTCACCAGCCACGAACAAAGAGCCTGCACACTACCCTCACAAAACCCTGCACCACTGGACATGACCACCACTGTTAAAACACATCACCCTCACCGTGCTCACATCCATTATCTGGGCTCCATCAACATTCAGTAAGTGTAGATGAATGCCGATGGGACAAACGCCATTTTTCCACACACAGGATTTCACCAGAACACTTTGCTTCACACCCGTTCCCATGTCAGATGCCATTCTGTCAGACTGCCTCTCTGCTGCCATGTGTCACATAGCAACAACATGGAATGGATTTTCAGACTGAAGGTTCAACTTCTCCTGCCATAACACCAACATCCACCTCTGACATCATGAGTCAACACAATAAAATGGGAGGAACCACCTTCTGAGCAGCCCTCGTACAAATTTAGTTCAGACTACGAGGGCATAGTTATAAAGCACACATGAATTTACGTCAAATATACACGCAAGCAAATTAGACCAACTGCACTTTTCAAGCATTAATACTGTGAAAAACAGCCCTACCAACACCCAGAAAGATGTGGAGGTATTATTTAATAAAGCTAAAAAGCTAAATCTTCTAAATATCCAGAATATAAAGATGCAAATACTAAGAGGTAAGATACAGCTCCTTAATTTCAGTGGAGGGAGACCCCTCCATTAAGAGGTAAAAGTTTATCATACAACTGAAAATTAATAGCCTGAAAAATAAAACAGAAATCACTTCTTGTATTACTTAAGAATAACCACTTGTACTGCTATGCTTGTGGGCATATATTAGACAAAATATAATGAAACAGCCACTTAAGCCTGAACCCTTTCCATTCACCAAATCATTTCAAGCAAAACACAGATTACTTCAACTAAAAGAATGAACAAAATTCTTCTCTGTTGGTTTGGTTCCTTCACACGTGGCTCAATTCCTCCTCTCAATCGGTAGACACACTAAAGACTCAATGCAGAAAAGCCCCAGTCACAAGAGATTACTGAAACAGAATCCTATTCATCTCCAAAGTTTATGTATTTTCAAACAGCAAAACTGAAATAAAAGTTAAAATATTAGAACAGCAACACCATTCAAAAAAGAATACAAAATGCTGAAGCTCAATCAACTTTTGATATCCTGAAGACATCACACAGAAACAGAACTACTAAAGTGATACTGAGAACACTGTCTGATGCAAGCCTTTCATTCGTGGTCAAAATAAAAAGCTACAGGAAAAAAAATAATCTGGCAATTCTGAGGCACAATTTCCCAAGCTTAAAATTACTTCTCTACCACCTATAAGATGTCATCTTTCAAACACCTTTGCAATGCCCTTACTGAGGGCATCTTATGAGCTCAATATTAGTAACACTTCAGCACTGCAGAAGCTCTGACAAACTTTTGAAAAGGTAATGACTACAATAAATCTGTCACTTGTACCAGACACTGAGTTTATAGCCTACCTAAATTATTTCAAGCTTTAAAATTAACCAGGGAAGGAAAGAGGAGTTTTATTTAGTAAAATTATCACTAACTTTTGAATTAAGTTGTTCTGTCCATCTTAATTTTCTTTTAAGTAGTATCAATTCAGTCGAACGCAAACCTGCAAAGAAAATACAATGAACATATATTAATTTCCACACTTAAACTGCACCTACAATACGAAACACTTAATTACTAGAGGGGAAGATGGCAGCAGGACATCTAACAGGAACATGTAAAATTTGTTAGCTAGCCAATATATCTCAGTTTTGAACCCTTCCAAAGTGGGTTTACTTTTTTTGTTATGTTACAGTTTCAAATCAGATTCATTCCCATTTCAAAGCAGGCAACTACTCTGAACACAACCTTAACATAACAATACATTAAAATACCAGACTGCACAGGTAGTAAAGAATTGGCTTCCGTAGTTAAAAAATAGTGGAAAACTATCAAAAAAGCAAAACTACATCATTACCTTCATACTGTAAACGTCTAAAGAAAACTGTAAGACAAGCAACCCAGCAGATTTGTTCAAGAAGTGTAATAGCTCATTTTCAAGTTTAGGAGGTGTTAACTTACTAGATTCTATCTAGAAGTATATATATTTTAATCTCACAGAAAGAAGAAAAAAAAAAAAATCACACTCCTACTTACAAATTGTTCTTGTGGTAGTAGGGCAGGTATTCTTCAATCTTTAAAGACATTAAAATAATTATAAAAAATGGCAAATAAAAACTAGATTCTGCTAGCTTATTTCAACATTGAAAAAACAATATAACTACATCTTCCAGACAGTTAATGCCACTGATTTAAACATTCTACTGGTAAGGTGTACAATTGATGTACAAACAATACTTGCCTAATCCAAGAGGACTGCACAAGGTGTTAGCTCCACGTGATTTATGTTTTTCCAGTTTGTTTTCCTTGAGATAATATCCCACGTTCTTGTTGATACTACATTTGTAACTGTTTGACCTAGATTTGACCTCACAGGAATCAGCTACCCATCCTTCTTGCTTACAGATTTCAAAATCCACCAAGTCTCTCACTCAAAAAGTTTGTTTTTTCTTCGAAAGCTTCTTCTGCTGTCTACTCCAAGAACGTATCACTATGAGAACCATCAGCTCCAAGTGAAATAAATACTTTTTATGTCACAAATTGAACACTAACAATCCAAATTTCACATCTGAACTGAGGAACACATCTTCATTCCAGGTAACAGAAGCATCTGTAAACAACAGCTATCTAGATACCGCCATATTGCTTATTGGCAACAACATTTTCCCAAAATACTACATAAAATAAAAAAGAAAAAAGGATAAACAGATTTCTGTTAGACTCTTCATTTAGAAAATCGGTCGCACCACAAAACAACAAAAGGCTACGTCATAAAATCTAAAAAAATAACGTAAGGGTAATAATATCTGCCATGAAGCTTTTCAATAGCGTTCATACAGTGATTCAGGCTGCATCCAACCAAGAGTCAGTCCACAACTCGAGTTGTAGACAGAGCAGTGCTCAGAAGAAAAAAATGCCTAAAAACCTAAAAGCACTTTGTTTGGATAGCGCAGGCATTCCAAAAGTGATAAAGTCAGCCGTGTATCCATGCCATGCGCACAAAAGTATCCGAAGGTGAGATCCTCTGTACTGCCAAGAAAAGAACGCTCAGACTTGGAACTCCCAAACGGCTTCCGCGCCGTCCGCCGGCTGCTTCTGAAGGCTATTCAGGAGGAAACAGTCAGACAAACGATCCCCATCACCGCCCGGTGTTTCTCCGCTTTGACGGGAAGCGGCTGCGGCAGACGGGCTCCCAGCGCTCTTCCTTCCCAGCGCAAAAGGCTCCGACACCCGAGGCTTTCCGTAACGCTGACCGCCTACGGGAACAAGAACCAGAGTCACCGCTGATCCGTGCTGGATTCAGAATGGGCGCTGCACGGACGGGCACATCCGAACGTCCATGCGGCCAGCAGCGAAGCCCCGCCTGGGAGGGCTGAGCGCGGATCTCACAGCCCGCACAGGCTGCGGGCATTCATTCAACGGAGCACACAGCAGCTCTAACGCTCCGCTGCCCTTCTGCGAGGCGCGGGCATCTCCTCCGCTCCGAGAAACAGACGCCAACCCAGAAGGAAGAGGCATTCCTCATTTTATTGGGGACGAACCGAACTGCGGGAGACGCCCGAGAGGAGGCACTGCCCAGAGCGGGGCACTCCGCGGTCCCGAGGGAGCGGCGGGGGATTCCCGGCCACGGCTCAGCCCGGATCGGGACACTCTAGCTCCGCCAAGCCCTTTGTGGCGGGCAGGAGACGGGACGGGCTCTGCGGTTCCCGCGTTCCCTGCAACCGGCCCCCCCTCCTTCCCCGGGGCCCCGCGGCGGGGGAGGGAGCAGGGCGGCTCCGAGCCCCTCGCAGCAGTACCGCCCCAGCCCCTCCGCGCCGCCTCCTCAGCCTCCTCCTCCTCTTTCTCCTTCCCTCCCCGGAGGCCTGCTGCCCGCCCCCGCCGCTGGGCCGCCCCGGGCCCGACGTCCCGCGCCCTCCGCCCCGAGAGCCGCGGGTCCCCGGACTCGAGCGCGCGGCGCCCGCACACTCGCAGCCACACACACCGCTCGCTTCGCTCCCAAAATGGCGCCGCTCCGAGCCGTAACGCTCCGCGCGACCAAACCTCGCGAGAGCCGTCGGGCGACCCCGGGGGAGCCCGGGGCGGGGCTCAGCGACTGCCGCCGAGGGGTGCGACCCCACTCCGCTCCGCCGGCGGGAGCTCCCGTGCGGTGACGTCGCGGGAAGAATCCCGAACGTTCCGCGAGGGGTGGCGGGGGAATCCCCTGCGCCGTGCCCCGCCCCTTCCCCCCCGCCCGCGGGAGTTCCCGACCCCGCCGTCACGGCACCGCGCCGAGAGCGGCAGCCGCGACCGGGGCCGTCGCTGAGCGGAGAACGGTACCCGGAGCGCTGGAGGGAGGGAGCGCGCGTCCTGTGGATCGCAGCCGCTCGGCGCCTGCCTTCCCCGGCGGGGCTGCACTCAGCGCCTCAGATCGCGCCCAGCGGCTTGGAAATCTCATTGCCATTGCGATGAGATTCAAATCATTTTTCAATTAATTAAATGAAAAATTGAAAAACTAAACACTGAAAATTGTCATTAGGAAGGATGTTGGCGAGCAATTTCAGAGCCTGCGCTCGATTCTGTAATTATTTTTATTAGCAGCTTCCTCTACTCGATTCAAATTACTGTAGGAATGGAACTGATGGCCTGCTGAAGGCACGGGGCAGACCGCGGGGTTCTGGATGGCACCGCAGACATGCGCACGCTCCCAAAAATAAAATCATTAAAAAGCAAAAATAACTGAGAAAATAGGAAAGTAGAGAGATGCATGAAAATTCTACCCTTAAAAAAACAAAACTTCAGAAAGCGTTACAGTCTCATTTACCCAACAGTCAGTTCTCATCAGTCTGCCCCAGCTCCAGTTTCCAAGAGCAGAGGTGGAGCTTTTCAGTGCCCATCACAATTCCATCTGTGTTGCAGTCTTCTTCCTCATCCTTTAAATTGTTCAGACATTTGACTAGAGCTGCAGGCAGGGCGTGGGAGCATAACCTGTGCACCTTAGGGCTTGTGGTGTGAGTGCTTCAAAAATAATAGTACCAGAAGAGTTCTAATCAAAGGTTTATATTTGAGACCCAAAGGGGCATGCAATCCTATGGGTAGATGGGTAGTGGTGATTAGGAAATTGAGCTGAGAGGTAACCCTGAAGCACTCAGAGTCAATAAAGCACTGTCAGTGCACCCTGGCAACATGCACCAGAGGCACTACTAATGATCTGAAATGATCTTTCAATTCATTCAGGTGAGTTATGGCTGATGTCTTCACTCTGCACAGCATCCTCTGGCTTCACAGCCTGTTACACACTGCAGGTGCCAGGAGAGCGCTGTGACAATCAGCAGGAGACTACAGATCCACCTGTATCGACTGTCACTAATAGGTTTCAGTTTGAGATGCTCATTTGTGAGCCTCCTATTTCCTTCTTGGGACTATATCCACATCAATATCAGTATCCACAGCAAACTCTTGATAGTCATTGGGAGAACAGCCTTAAAGCAGTAGTGGAAAAGGGGTTTGATTCTTGTCTCTTTTCGTTCCATAGCAGAACACATATGCCAGTGCGACTTCACATGCAAGCAGATGTCCTGATACATCAATGGGAAAACTCAAGCCAGGTTTCTCCTCTCTCAACACATCAGTTTGTGTGTTGTTTCAGTGAAGTCTGCAAGACCATTCCTCAAAGCTGAAGATGAGTTTAACAGAATTATTTGTAAGTCTGTGGATACAGCAGTGTGAACGTTGGTATTTCTGCCATACTCAGTGTAGCTGTACCAGCTGGCTCTCCTGCTATGGGCAGACGTTACACCGCAAGATGCATGATTCTACTAATACAGCCAGTCATGGTTCTATGAGGAATAATCAAGCTGTGCTGAGAGAACCCATATGTATTTGTTCACCAATGAAGAAATCCTGGTGTAAGCGTAGTCACAATTGGTCATGAAGAGCAAGAGGAGAGACAGACCGTCAACATTTTATGGGCTGGTTCGGCCCAGTTCCATGATCAGCGGGGCAGAGGGATTTTGCAAAATCTGTGCCTCTGGAAAAAGGAAACAGGGTCCCCAAAATAATTAAAAACAGTGGCAACAATCTGAGGAGAAACAAATTAATTTACTAAATATAGTATCAGAATGCAAGATAACACACCATAATACAATATAATTAGAATTGAAGCTAATAAATCAAATATAATGAGAGAATGTCTGAAAGGTAAAAAGGCCTCACCATAACAATGAGGTGAGATGCGCAGTCCAGTTGAGCAGCAGGGAGACAAAAGAAGAGCAGGCGAAGAAGAGCCCATCAGGTGACCTTGCCAGGAGTTGTATCTCCTCTCTGTGACCACAAAGTCCCCTGGGGAATGTAGTTCTTCTTCTCTTCTGGGCAGGTACCCAGGACTTGAGCATTAACAGTTAAACTCCTAGTGCCCCACGTGATTTTGTGATGTGGAATATCAAGAACCAAAAATCACAAAACCATGACACAGATGATCACCAGATATGTAAATTTATCAAGCAACGTTTTTAGCAATTTCTGTAATAAAATATGTTTTTTAAACTTCTGAAGCCAAGTTGTACCTGGAAGTATATATAGCACAGAAGAGGGTAATAGCCTCAGAATAGTCATCAGGCCAATATGGTTTTGCACCTGAGAACAATTTAAAGCATCAAAGATAATTTGAATGCAGCATGTGCTTTTATTCTGCTTACCCCAGCCGAGGGAGGGCTAGGGAACAGAAATCATGAAGGAGTGTGTGATAACTCACACCACAGATTTAGAAAGAAATCCATTTTACAGACTTTACCTCACAGATGACACAGAATTGCAGGCTTGAGGCTCTCCAGTACCCGCTTAATTTTCCAGATCCCTGAAACCAGTTGTACCAGGAGACTCATAATGCACGGACTGCTCCCTCCAGTGTTTGCCTCTTGCCAACTGCTCTCCACTCCATCCCATTGCTTGCTATTAACATTTCAGATACTGCATCAACCCATGACAAATACTAAAAAGCCACTGCCTAAACTGGTGATCACTTACAGAAAACACATTGTGTGAATTCAAATAATGCTAATAAAAGGAATTTGTAGCTTGGGTTTTTATACAACTTTTCTATTTCTTTCATGTAAAAGTATAAATCAGCATTCCAGATCTATCATCACAGCACTGTTGCTTCTGACTATGATGCCTCCATGGTTGCTCAGAACATAGAAATCAAAACTGCTCTGTGTTACTTGCAATTAGTAAGATAAAACAGATAAAGGCCTTGGTGTCATCCAGGCCAAGGGAATCTGCAAAGACTTGGACAGAGTGGGAGGCAAATCTGGTGCTGTTTGCACACTAACATAATGCACCATACTAACAAATATCTTGCTTCAAACAATAGACATTTAATATCAGACACTAAAAGTTAAAGAATTAAAGACTCAGCTTTAATGAAAACAGTTTCTGAAACTAGGCAAGCTGAACAGAACCCTTCTGTTGTGGAAACCACTGTAGGTAGTTAGGATGACATTTAAGATGTAAATGAAGAGAGAGAGTGATGGAGAGAGAAAAAAAGAAAGAGCAGTATCTCTGTATGGACAGTTCTCTTTTGTTGAGCAAACTGACAGAATCATAAAATCACTAAGGTTGGAGAAGACCCCTAACATCATCAATTCCAGTCATCAAGCCATCCCCATCATGCCCACGGACCATGTCTCCCAGTGCCACATCTATGTGATTCTTGAACATCTCCTGGGACGGTGCCTCCACCACCTGCCTGGGCAGCCTGTGTTACTGCCTCACCACTCTTTCTGAGAAAAAATTTCTTCTAATATCCAACCTCAAACTTGCAATAGTAGGCCCAGATTTTTAACACAGATACACATGTTTGTAAATCTAAATCCTAATGCAAGCAAAGGGTATCTTAACTAATGTGGTATTTAGACAGTGGCTGAGTGGGAGAACAAAGCTAAGAATCACTGGTTTGGAATGCATGAGATACCTCTGGTAATATAATGAGTGAAAGAATGCATTTTACACTTCCATTCAAAATTAATATTCTCAATACTAAATGTAATTTAAGGTTCAGGTTGGTGTAGATCAAATGACATACTCAGAGATAAGTGAAGAGATAGATAGTGTAGGTTAATGCCACGATTAGGTATTGTCTTTATTGGTGTATAAAAGTATTCAGTAAAACCAATGAAACAGAAATCTACTAGAAATGCTCAGAAATGAAAACAGAAAAAATTGAATTCCCACCAAGTAACAGCCACTCATACCTAAATACAGGTGTACAGGTTTTTTTAATTCTCATTTAAGCTCATTTTAATATGAAAAAAAATTGTCACAGGTTTAAAATTAAATCACTTGCTCAGAAATTTTATTGTTGGGATGAAGTATTGGACCGAAAGTTTAAAAGCATATTTTGTCAAGCACTAGAAATATCTTTGCTTTTAGTTTGTTCTGATTGTAGAACACAAGATACATATGAAAACATGCATTCAAAAACTTAATATGGCAAATAATAAGAACAAAGCATGAAAATATATTTTGTTATTTACTGTTACACATTTTATTGTGTATAAACAGAATAACTAAGTTTGTACTAAAAACTCAGTGTGCCAAGTACACAGTCAGTTTCAACCAAAGAATTAGGCAGACAGATAAAATAAAATATTCATGTAACAGGTTTAAAACCTTAGAAATACAGATTCAATCCAGGAAGTTTCAGATGTAGTGAGCCCAAGATTTAAAAACTAGACGGAAAATTTCTGCCTGATATCAATAGCAAAACCTAATGTGTATTTTTCTCAACAGGAGAGTAAATGAGATTCCAAGCTCAGCAAGAATTTGTCATGACAAACACAGGTCAATGAACAGTGTTTGTCTCCAATATTCAAATATCTTTCAGGTACATGTTCACAATAGTAAACATTTTAAGGAACAAAATCGAGGAATGTAAGCATTGTACAAACATATATAGCAATATCCAGTCATTATTGTTTGCATTGATAGGATGAATGGAAGATTTGTGTTTGAATGAAAGAATTTGTGTTATCTATTTATATCTCTTATCCCTTGAAGGAAAGGAAGATAAGATGATTTTCCAGTTCAGGATTTCAGTGAGTCTGTTTACACGTAAGATATTGGGATTTAAACGTATTTAATAAACATTATTATTTGCATCAGAGTATTCATAGCCTCTAATTGTTAAATTTTTCAAGAGTTTCAAGCATCTCAGTGCGCTTCGGTACAGCCAGCAAGTGCTAAACATGTCCAAAAATTAGAATATAAGAGTTTGCTGATTTGTTCTTTTATCAAGAACTTTAATATAAAAACTAGCACTGACTTTGATGGGATCAGCATTCAGTCTGTGCAGAGACTTCAGCAAAGCTATAGATAACTGAATACATAATTTGAAGCAATAGTGAGGTACATATTTTGAATGATACATTTATCATTTTATCTTTCTACAGACGATTGTTTCTACTTGGAATAATCAAAGTGTTTTAAAAGCCAGAACCCAGAGAACATCCTTTAGCTATATTAATTGCAAGGTAAAAATGCTACTAAGATTCAAGACTTTAAATGAATTATGTATTATTATTATTTTTTTTTTTCACCTATGGTGCAATCAAAAATAGCCTCACCAGTAACCTTCTCTTTGTGTCAGTAAAAACATCCATCTCTAGTACTGTTTCAAATAACACTGGGTAGTATTAAACCAAGGGCTTAATAAAACTATTTGTAATGGTTTTCTACATTAAGCAGCACTATCTTCTTAGCAAATGACTGGGCTATTAGACAGAGGTCAAAAGAGTTCTTCAAATATGCCCTGACTGAATGCTGTCTACATGATACTTATTCTGTTTAAGGATAAAGTCATACTCAAGCCTTTGCTAAAAATAACAAGCAAGTAAATCACAAATATGTTCAGCTTTTGCCCTGGTTCTTCCAGGAAAGCAAAAAACGAATACCACTGTTCTGAATTTCACAAATAACTCAAATTAGGAACTATTAATACCAAAATACAGTTTAGATGAAAAGGAACAAGTTGAAACAATTATAAATAGGACATAAGATACTAAATTACTATTTTTCATGCGATACTTATCTTTGCCTTCTGTTTTTTTCTTTTACAAAATGAAAATCCTGTTTTCCCTAAAATGCAGCTAGTTCATTTGTGAACTTAGAACACATTAATTTTAGCATAAAGAGACCAAATGACCAGCATGATCTTGCATGTAATTAAACTTGAACAAATCTCATGTTTTGATGTAGGTTCATTTCACTGAAATAAATGCTTTATTTATTTATTTATTTTTCTTTTAAAATCAGTGTGGAAGCCAACTTAACATTTTATTTCCCTCAATTTTTAATGACTAACTTCATTTTAGAAATTTTCAAATACTATAAAGTGAATATAACAACTTTCTGCAAGTTTTACCCAAATTCAACACACAAATTATTGTGTTTTTTAACAAAAGTGTAGTTTCCACAGATGCTACTTTTAGGAAACTTTCCCAATGTAGGTATAATTTCTTTCCATAGACAAACCTGATAAGGAAATTGTATGTGCAAACATCTGTCAGTATCTTCTCATTTATCTTAGCTGCTTTAATCAATAGAATAATTTTTTCCTACCCATAAATACATACCTACATACAACACAGACATAGACTACTGTTAGATTTGTTTGGTAGAAGTCTGGATACTGTCATATATATCAAACACTGTGGGATTTAATTTACAGTTCAAAGGTCTTCAGAGTTTTGTGATGTGATCCCCAGAAGGAATGATGCAGCTGGCTCAGCTTTTGCAATTCCTTTCCTTTACTACCAGTCATCCTTGGAGAAAGGAAATTGCACCACATATAACCAACCTAAGATTCATCTGTGTGTATTTGTAAGAGAGATTTGAAGCATTTCAGTTTGCTCATTTGCTGAAATGTCCCAGCAAAGCTGAAAATTCTAATGCTAAATGCAAAAGCTTAAGGAGACTAAAATCTACCACTTTTTCAGCTGATCTTTTGTCTGCATTTGGCCATTCTGTGATTCTGTGGTTCTCCTGTCTCTTGCATGGTTCTCTCATCTTAAATGTTTTAAAAAAGTACAAGGAGATTGATGGTGCTAAAGACTGGGAAACAAAGTCAAGCACAACTGAAATATTTTCCCAGATTTCTCTTCTGGAGTATCTAATGCTCTTTTCCAGATCCCACTGAACAAGCTTCACAGACTTTTATTTTGCTCCTTCAGAATTGGAAATTAAGAGAGTTCTGACCGGACACTTGTCCAACATAAGCAATACTCACACTCTTACACAGTGGCATTTTCGCATGCCACTATCAGAAACTCCTGGTATAGTAAAAAAAGGGGAGAATGAGTCAGAATGTTGAACTGCTGAGACGCAAACTTCAATCTACAGAGATCACGCTATTGTTTTACATCAGCATTTTCTTGGTTTGGTTTTCACTTCTGCCATTAATCATGCATCAGGCTTTGGCTGGATTTTTCAACCATTCTGTACCTTAATTCACGTATTTGCAGGATACAATTACTTGTTTATCTTTGTGAACTTTTTGAAAGATAGTGATGCAGTTTCTCATAAATTTGGTAATTATTGTCTGTTAAACAAAATCGGCAGAACAAAAGTAGTGTGCTTCCTGCACAAGAAACGTTCCTTCTTATTCCTTCCAAAACAAGAATAACTTTGCCAGAATGCCTAGTAGCATTACTTTCATAAATAAAATCAAGTTTCCTGCAAATATTGTTAAAATCATGGTGTCTGTTATGGCTTTGCTTAAAATATTCTGTGAGATACTGAAAAAAACCAAAATGTATTATTTCTTCTTGTAATGTGACAAATCAGCTGATGCTATGGAATGAAAATCAGCAAGGTGCAATACTGTTCTTACCAGGAATTGTTTTCTGTCATGCTTTTAATTGTTTACAACTTAATCACATCCTTACCTTCTCCTTAAAAATCTCCTCCTTGCCCAGCAGTAAGGTATATAGGGGAAGTACTTAGTCATGTTTTTCTACACGTAGCTGGCTAAGATTTGTTTTCAGTTAGTTCACAAGTGAAGTCATATGCCAGCATGCAGACATGTTGGGCTGACCACAAAATCAGAAAGCTGCCTTATTAAGAAGGGTGGCTTTTTTGGGGAGATCAAGGCTCTTGGGATGCATGAGGCTCATCCCTATGCTCATCCCCCCATGGAGAATGAAGAGTCTCATCACAGATCCTTGGAGAAGATGGAGAAGGTTTTTCTGTTTGGGGCAATCCCAGATAAAGGAACAGACTAGGAGAAGAACTCATTAACAGCAGTGCTACCAGAAGGACCTGGGGGCCTCCTGGTAGATGAAAAGCTGGACATGAGCCAGCAGTGTCTGCCTGTGGCCTGGAAGGCCAACTATATCCCAGGTTTTATTAAAAAAAAAGAGTGGTCAGCAGGGTGAGGGAGAGACTTTCCCACTCTGCTCTGCCCTCATATGGCCCCACCTGGAGTACTGCATCCAGGCTTGGGGCCCTAGCACAGGAAAGCTGGTGGAGTGGCCCCACAGTGATGATCAGACGGCAGGAGCACATCTGTGAAGAAAGGCAGAGGGAGCTGGGCTTGTTCAGCCTGGAGAATAGAAGGATCCAGAGAGACCTCACTGTAGCCTTCCAATATTTGAATGGAGCTAATAAACAGGAGGGAGACTGACATTTTATGTGGTCTGATAGTGATACAACAAGAGGGAATGATTTTAAACTAAAAGCATGGATATTTAGATCAGATATTTGCAGAAAATTCTTTACTCATACTGTGGTATGCACTGGCACAGGCTGTCCAGAGAAGCTGTGGATGCCCAGAGAAGGTATGGACGAACATCCTAGGAGGTGTTCAAAGGTAGACTGGATGGGCCCCTGGGCAGCTTGAGCTGGTGGTGGCAGCCCTGCCTGAGGCATCATATAGTGCCAGTCTTAGAAAAGGATGGCGAGAAGCTCCATAAGCGCTGCTGCTCACCCTGCAGCATTGGTAAATCATGCAAGGGGAAAAAGAAGAGGTTCATGGGTCCTGCAGTCAAGGGCAGACAGAAGCAAAGAGGGGCAAGATAAAGAGAAATACAGAGAAGCGAACTTAGTTCAAAGTCTGGGGCAGACAAGCACAGATGAAATAGTTTCTAAATGAATTCTAGGTTCAGGGGATGATGATAGTCAGCAAGAAGATGAAGTAAGTCATCAAGAAAGAGATTATTTAAGTCCCACAGCAGGACAAACATGGAGGAGGGCTCTAAGGATTGTAAAGACGCCTTTGAGGCAGGCGGTAGGACCCAGCAGACCAGTAATGGTAAGAGTGTTATTTTCAGTGACAGATTTATAAGCATGGAAAGAGTTGGCAGGAGAGTACACAGAGGATCCAGATAAGCTAGATAAAGTGATGGACACTGTCATTAGAACTCAAGATTGGAGTGATTTGCTGTTATTGAATGTGCTGCTGACATCTGAGGAAAGAAATAGTTTTGGTAAAGGCAAAGCAGAAAGAATCTATGCTCAGAGAGCAGACCAAAGAGCAATGGACAGTCGTTTTCCCTCAGCTGATCCTAAGTGGCACTCAAATAATCAGAGTCAATGAGAATTACTAACCAAATATCAGAGATTGATCTTATTCAGGGTGAGGCCTGAATTCCTACCATTCCTAAAGCAAAGAATATGTCTGAAGTATAACAAGTGGTGCAGGACAGGAATGAGATCCCATCAGTCTTTCTCAGTAGATTAGTTACCATGTTAGGAAATACACTGATATAAACATGGAAAAAGGAAGAGATATGGTGCAACCAGCACCTATTTCTGTGGGGCAGTGGAATTCAGATGTTAGATGTAACTTAAAGAAAATAGGAGAGAATTCCCGATCTCTTAATAAGTTACTGGAAGCTGCATGCAAGGAATGTAATAAAGAGAGGAAAATGAAAGTAAGATCTGGAGAAAAAATTTGTGATAGCTTTACCACAAAAGATGTAGAGATGAAGACCACAAGGAAATATGTGAGACAATGAGCAGGGACAACCACTGAGGCAGCACTTAGAAAGGGATTAATGTGCTAGATGCAGGAATTGGGGTCACTGGTAAAGGAACTACCCAATCAGCAAATACAGCAGCAGACATGAAGAACTTTCATGGGGCTTCCAAGCCAGGCAGAAAAAAATATTGACTTCAGATGAAGATTGAAGGGGGCTGGGGATGGATTTGAAGTTATCCCCAAAGAGCCCCTGGGTACAGGAAGGATGGGGAAAGCAGATTTAAAATTTCTTATAGATACAGGAGCAATGTACTCAGTTATTAATACTTGTAAAGGGCATTTAATTAATCAGAGAAACCACAGTTGTTGATGGTGCCACAGGGTGCCAATCTTTCAACTTTTAAAATTCAGGATCGGGGAGAGGTTATTGGCTTATCAGTTTTTGTATATGTCTGAATGCTCTGTGCCGTCTGTAGGTAGAGTTATACTAAGTAAGATAAATGCTCAAATTACATTTGTAGTTGGAAAAATTCAAGTACGTATTCCAGAGGATAAGGCCATGGAGGCCCAGGTCATTGTGTTGCAGGAATCATCTCTGGAATTTGAAATAACTGAAGAGGTAGAGAACACAGTAACACCATTAATGTGGGCTGCAGGAGTCCTCAGACAAACAAGGAAGGCCAAACTAGTCATTATATATCTGAAGCCAAAAGCCTGACTGGTAAGAAAAAAAAATTGAATTGTTTGTGCATGAACAGCAGCACATTGCCCTAGGAGTCCTGGCACAGATATTAGGACCTTGAAAGAGACCAGTAGGGTACTTTTTAAAGCAAGTTGGTGTCAGCAAAGGATGACCATCATGTGTTAGGGCAGTGGTAGTCAGTGACCTACTGTTGATGAAGGAAGCTGGAAGCTGACTCTAGGAGAAAAGATGACAGTATTTATGCCACGCATGGTGACAGCTGTCCTGAAAAAAGGAGGCCATTTTTTTCCCCCAGCAGAACGCTGAAATACCAAGCTGTCTGACTGGAAAAAGAAGACATGGAACTGAAAGCTACTAACCTTTTGAACTCTTTTCAGGAAAGTGACAACAATGTCCTAACAGAAGGCCTTTCTGTTGCAACTTTTGTTGCAAACATCATTCCCGCTAGTACATCAGGAATAGATGTGACTACACCTTGAGCTGTTGTACAGTTCGGAGATATCTGAGTTGTTTATATAATTGAATTGGAGGAGACTCAGCAGTGTAGCATGTGACAAAAGTTTATTCACACTTTTTCTGGGAGCAACAGGTACCAGCAGAATAAATAAAGCCACACAGAATTCCACTACTTAAATACTTGAATTTGTTTGGGTTCTCTGCAGTTTGCAAGCCCAGCTCTCACTGCTCTAGTCTGTCAGTAATAAGCAATAGAACATATTCGTTTCCCATTGTTAGGT